AGTAAAGTTTCCTTTCATCAAGGATGACACATTTTAATATAAACAGGCACAAATTATTTGAACAATAAAAGTCCCTGAGAATAATTACATAATATACCATCATAGAGAAATTGTAAATGAAATATAGGTGGTGCATTTGTTTATATAAATTGTTACAAGCATTTTTAAAAATACTTGACAATACTTATAATTAAAAGTTAACATTGTTATTTTTCAATTTGGCTTTTTATAAACTCAATAGGAAGGAAATATTTCAATTTTATTCTTCATATTATACATATTAAAAGTAACTGATTTTTTTCAACTCTAAAGCATATTATCATTAAATGCATCTTTTAAACAATCATCAGGTTTCTGCATTATAACAGAAGATAAAAAAACATCTTTGTTTTAATGTGACTTTTATATATCTTGCTATATGGCTTTTTTTAACTTTTCTACAATCTGAAAAAAATCAATAAACATTTTTAACAAACCATATTAAAATATTATATATAATAAAAAAAATTCAAAATAATTTCTGCTTGAACTTACTTTCTAGGAGTAAAAAAGTAGTCCCAGGATTAAATATGACAGAGAAAAGCCTAGTTTTCAACTAGTTCCATCAAAATGAAAAACTTATCTAAACTAGATAGTGATAGTTAATAATTAAGCTTTGACCCATGGCTGATATATTTTGGACTTCATTTTATCTGTGACCTGTTAAAAGTCAAGATTAAATTACATCAATAAATGCTTCAGAATCAAAAGATCAGGTTTGTAGTGTAATCTTTTTAAGGGAACATTAGAAAATTAATTATCTTCATTCTTTAAATGCTCTATATAAAAAGAATGCATAAAGAATATAAATAATACATTAAGTTTAATGGTTAGATTGTGTGTTCAGATCCTGTAAACAGCAGCAAGATATTTTCTTTGCCTTGTCTGTTTTTAATTTATTTTATTCCTAATTTGTTTTTAACCTAGAAAAGGGTTACTGAATGAGAATAACCAAAAAGGAGGTTGGAAATGAAATGGCAATCTTTATAACATCAACAAAATTAATACAATACAATAATACAATACTCACCAAAGGCGTGAAGTAGGCAAACCACTTGCTAATGGTGAACTACATTTTAACAGCATATTACCCCGACTTACAATATGTCCAATGTATTTATGAGGTTTTGGGACATACCCATTAGTGTTCATAGGTATGGTATATTTTTTATCTTAAACCAAATTTGTATAGTGAAATAAACATACCTATTTTAAAAGCAAATATTGAAAGAAAAGCTGTTTATATTTCTGAGATGAACATTGTAACAATTTTACACTCTTTACCTTGTTCAGACTCTTGTCCTCATCTTTATTGTCATATTCACAACATTTCAAACATTGCACACTCCAACCTTCTTCATGTGATATACATTGGAATAAAAGTGTTTGTTGAAGTAATCCAGTGACTTGACCCAAAGAGTTATAGGTTCAATACCTGGCTACAGCAGCAGAGGTGAACAAAAACTTGGAGAGTTGAGTTACTAAAGGGAAATAACTGAAACTGAGATATCCAGAAAAGGCATGGTATGTGGAACTAGAACAATCTACCCCAGTGAATTAAATATAGGGTTTGGTTCAAAGTTCCAACGTATATCCCCTGAAGAAGGCGGGAGCATACAATGGCCAAAACATGAATATAACAATAAAGATGAGGACAACAGTTCAAACAATGTAAATAGTTTAAATATTGAAGCCTAGCTTTTACATGCATTTAACTATCAGAGCTAATAATTTTCCCACAAAGCCATTATACCGCCTCAGAAAATATATATATATATATGCCTTATGGAAATCATCTGTTGTTGGAGCTACAGTGCTGACAAGTATAAAAGTGCTTTGTTTGAGTCTCATTCAAGGTAGCATAACTCACACTAAAAGAAAAAATGAGACGTGATGTAACACACAACAATGGAAATGAAGCATTATTAAAGTGAAAAGGAAGGTTTATTTATACTTTTAGATCAGGCAATACCTAAAAACAGAGAATTTGTCTCAGGGTTCTACTGCATATTAATATTGCATCATAGATGTAAGGAAAAATCTTTTGAGGAATATATACATGTGTATGAGTTTTATTGCATAAGAGGAGTAGAGGTTTTCATTGAGTAGTAGCCTTAGCTGTTGCTGTTAACATCTGTGTCCTGATGCCTCAATGGCTGTCTTTGGTTGTCACCATTTGGGCTTTAGTGATACTTGTTTTTTTCTGAGTGCATGCTGTCTTCCCTCTTTATTCCTTTTGTAATATGCAATTCATATTTGCCTTGCTATAGTATAGTGTTTGGTCTTCTAGATCATTGTTATTATAATGAGTTTTAAAATTTAAAGAGTGCTTAAAATTTAAACATATGAGGAGGTATAGTCTTGCCATTGTCAGAATATTGCTATTGGATTTATAGTTCAGCATGTTTGTTTGAGACTGAGTTGTAACAAGTTAAAGTAATCAAGTAAAATACTGATGTTATTTTACTTGAAACAGTGATGGGTTGAACTCTTTTCTGGATTTGTAAATCAGGCTATGGTTTAGAAGTTGAATGCACTTACATATGACCTTATACGCACAAATAAATAAATAAGGGAGAATGCAAATCAAGCCAGAATAATAGCAATAACAAAATATTCATTATTATTTGTAGAGTTGTTTAGAGGAGTTCTCATTAAAGTTGGCAAGCATTTATACTAATGTTGAACAGGCACAGTGCCATCAAATAAAATGCCAAAACACATTGTCATTGATTGAAGCCAAGATTACTATTATTCTTCTATTTAGTTTTCAATTCTAGTTTTCACTATAGCACTGTGGATGTTTTTTGTTATAGATGTTTTGTTATATAATTATTTGTACACACATAAATATAATCTTTTTCTTTCTCTTCTTTTGTGACTTATGTTGTTCTTAAAATAAGAATATATTTATAAAATTCTTCACATGTTGAATTTGTTTCTTTTGAAAATGTTTTGCACGTAAATTTCCACCTCAGCTGTAAAAAATAGTAAACCACTTGTTACAAACTGGTGACCAACAGCAATCATATCCATTACCACCCTTAACACCTATTTACTACAATGAATATAGTTATTGCTACAATTGTTTTTGATTCATTATAAATAAAAAATATTTCAGTTTAAATCATATGATGATTAGAACAGCATTTCATAGTTTTGAATTTATTGCTTAATTTATTAATCTCATATTTAAATATTAATCTCTTAATTTGACTGCTTTGAATGTCTCTTGGATCTCATGTTCACTCCAGACCTTAAGTGGAACTCATATATACAATCCATTGCTGAAGAAACAGGAAAAATGGTCAGTTCACTATATGACTCCAGGAAATATCTGACTCCATCTGCCATTTTGTATCCTTACAAAGCTTAGATTAGGCCAAAAATAGAGTAATACTTTCATATCTGGGCTAGAACTGCTCTCTCCTCACTTTACAAATTTTATAGAATTCAAAATCGTTTACATGGTTTTGTTGGCGATGACTTATTTTCCACTCTACAGCCAACTTCCCCATGGGCATCAAATTCCAAGTTTGTCACTACTCTTTCACAAATGTTTAGATGAGTTCTATTCTCTAGTTTCACCAGTTTAGATTTTTACTGTTAGGAGATGTGCAGATGACTTCTGCACATGGGAGCTTTCCTGGACATATTAATCTGCACATGGGAGCTTTCCTGGACATGTTAATCTGTACATAGGTGCTTTCTTGAACATGTTAATCTTGACCTCTTCAATACTATCATTATCTATCCTCCTTATCTTTATTTCTCACTACCTTCTTTTCTACTCATATCTCACACCTTATTCATCATTACCTTCCTATCCCTAGCTCTCAATGCTTCTATAGAATGAAATTTTGTTAAAAAAATATTATTGTATAAATAATATCAAATTCAAATTGTCAATGTAATTTTAATACAGTTTTATGAGCTATATCTTACCAAATATTTTAAAAACATTATTTATTCATATATATAATTATAATTTTGTTTTATATTAGCTTCTTTGATCCTAGTTCTTGTCTTTTGTCAAAAACCTTTTCTAAGCTTTGTACATTTTTATACAAATACTTTCTCAATTTTTTTTTGTTGATGAACAATTTATTCTGAAAATGTATATAAATCAATTGTTGAATTGCAATTTTATTTCTTTTAATTTTTCCCATTTTCGTATTAAATGCTAAACTCCACTGATCAAATGAAAATCAAAGTAGATCCAACACTTACAGAACATCATATGGAAAAATTATTTGGCTTAACATTTTTATTACTTGCCTGAGTTTGAAAGAAAAATACATTTTCAAAAGATTTTGAACATTTGTTTCAAGGATATCAAACTGAAAAATAATGATTGATTAATGTGTTTGTAATCAAGTGGATTTTAAATATGTGTGCCTTGAAGTTATGACGTTAAACATTTTTGTTATTATGAGTAACAATATAGTCAAGACATTTTGAAAATGCAAGCAAATATTTTAATTTATTCTTTTTTCGGTCAAATGAAACATCTGAATTTTGATTTAGTTTCAGAAGTAAATACCCTGATAGATTTTTGTTTTTAAACCATTATTATTAAGTAACATAAATGTTGCAAAAAGACAGAAAAAACAGATTTCCAAATGAAAAATTCTAAAAATGGCTCTCTAGATTTCTTAAAGTTTCACATTTTCAACATAGGTGTTTCTCTCACTTTCTTTTCGGTTTATAAAAGAAGATATTACTAACCAATGACATTAAATAAATGTTTGAATAGGCACAACGCTACGTTGAAGACTTTTATTCGGGTAAAATGAGTGAGTTTAAAGTTTAAATTCCACCATTTTGATAAGTGGGTAATGTGTTTTCTTTATTATCGTGTTTGGCGTGTGCCGAAATTGTACAGTCACAGTCAGTTACTTACTACAGGCATTACATTTTTTTTTAATTCAGTGTTTAATTTACAGCTATTGTGAGTTACAATGTCTTCGTTTGCGCCAACCACAAGCAAAGTTCTATCATCACGCAGCAATGTCGCCTCCAACTACGATAAACCCGGAGCCGTGTTCTTTCCTGGTTTGTGTTGTCAAAATCTTTTTAAAGCTCTCAGCAAAAAGATCTTATGTTATTAAATATCATTGTAAAAGAAAACAAAATAGAAAGAAATGAATGTTGTGAGTAATTATGGGCGTTTTTTTAACTGATAATCTTTTTTAACACTTCACAACTAATTGTTCAGTAATGTAAAATTGAGCATTAAATCATGATAAATGTTAATATTTTCACCCTTCATGAAAACAGACTTTGAACTGAAAAACAATGACAGTACGTGATGCATTTACTTTTTTTTTCTCATTTTTTTTACTTATTTATTTTAAAAGTGCATCGATAAAGCAAGACAAACCGGAAAATTCCAAAATATTTTACTTTTCTTTTCCATTTCACTCACTAAGTTTTTAGAACTTTTTATGAGTTCTAGACACATTTTGAATTTTTAGTTTCGGGCAATTTTCTTTTTCTGTGTAAAAGTAAAATGTGAAAAACAAATTTTAAGAACCATGAGTAAGAAAATCTTTTTCTTCTTTAAGAAAGTCATATTTCCAAAGCATTTTTAACGAATTTTCATTTCATTAAGTCTTGCCAAATAATTTTTAGTAAATCCCAGATGTTTGTATTGTATCGACGAGTTTTCTGAATATTGATTGACTATTTCCTTACTTTCCCTTTTTTTAAAAATGTCTTAGCAATAATACTAAATAATTGGCTTGTTGTTTATCAAATTTCGCCAGAAAGAAACCTACACTACAGTACAACATGTAAATTAAAAATAATTTTTGCAAAAGTGTTCGTGTGTTTAATTATAATCGGAAAAGACTGAAAATGATGATCAGTTGTTAGTATCGCCTGAAAACGAGTGTCTTGGCTCAGTATTATTCAGTTGTAAAAATAAAAAAGTAGATAACTAAAAAAAGATTATTCATGCAAACGATTGCGTAGTGAACTTTGATCGTTTTTTTTATCGGGGACGAACAGATACTTGACACCGATTTGTTTAAAAAATGTGGAGTTTATTAATTTGTTTGAACTTAACCCATGGTTATAAAAATTTGATTAATAATCGCTTAGTTTTTATTTTTACAATTCTGCAAAAATAGTCGTTATTTTCATCAGTCATTTTTTTTTTTATTTAAATGCTCTTGATTTTTTTTTTTTTAGACTTTGTTTTTATTAGAGTTCTCATCAGCTTAAAAACTGATATTGCTCTCATCTCACAACAACCGCAATAATTTGGCACATGATCGCCTCTTTCTTTATTTTATAATTTGGTTATTTTAATTTACTTTTTAATAGTGTTGAACATTTCGTAGTAAGTAGAGGTTTAGGTTGTGGAACCATTTACTACTGTTTTGCAATGTACCACATATCTGGCCTTGTGGTACTACGCTCACCTTTTTGTATTTTAGTAAATAAATATAATTTGTTTGTTTTTACTGCTAAGACAAATTCTTGATAAAATCTTTATTTACGTCTGAATTTCTGGAATGGAGACTGTACAGTCACTATTTATATTCGGACTATTGTCCTCAACTTTGATGTTTTATTAATCCCGTTAGAATTGTGATCCCTGGATTGAACGTGGAAACGGGAGAGCAATAACTGAAAAATAAGAACTAGATTAGATCCCTAGACATGGGCAGTAAAACGAGAACAGGATACTCCTATAGATTGATTAAGAGATCAGTTCAGAATTCCCTGTAGGTTACCTAGATCGATATGCATTTGAAGAAGGCCGTGGGGCACACCAGTCGAAACATTGTGACAATAATAACAACAAAGATGAGCATATTAGTCCGAATATAGTGTAATCTTTATTTACTATTAATTCCCATTTATCTTCTATGTTATTCTTGAATCTTGTGTATGAACAAAATTATTGAAGCAATCTATTATTTTCATTTTTTATTTGCTAAAAGACGAAAAAAAATGTTGCTCCGATTTAATTCCAATTGAGGTTAACATTTTTAAATTTAAAGTTTGAGTCATACACACTTCAAAGTTTAGCATAATTATTTTTACTTTTAAAAATTGAAAACAATTAAAAATTTAGTATACTTCAGTTACTAGTATATGTAGATTGGAATAAAGAAAATGTTAGTGATATTTTATTAAATGTATTCATTCACATTTAAGTCATTAAAAATACTTGATCATAATACAAACTTAAAAATTTTAAAATTTTTTTAAAATGGTTAAGAATTCAACATTCCTGAAAAAGGCTTTTTATAAGCAGTATGGCAATATTGGTTGGTTGGTGTCATGTTGACACCTCAAAAATAGTCTTGTGGGTTGGTTGTTTTGTTTAGCAGTATATCAACCTCTATGGGTTATTTAATGCCAAAATCTAAATATTTTGTACACAATTTTATTTTATTTATTTTTTGAGATAACAGTTTTAATGAAAAAATTACTAATTAACTCATAACTAGGGGAGAAGTGGATTCATACCTTTCCCAAGGGTATTTGTGTGCAAGTAAATATAACAAACTCAACTGGAATTGGAACTCTGCTATCCGATTAACTATTTTGAGCCATTATCCAATACGCCATCTACACATCCAAGCTTACAGCATTTGGTATTCCCAAGTGTTCACCCATCTAAATGCTGACCAGTCTCGGTGTTGCTTAACTTTGGTGATTGTACTCAGTTTCTCTTCAAGCAGTGAGATAGATTGATAGTAGAGAATGGTTCCTCACTTCATTGCAAACATTATTTGCATTATAAAAATCACTAATATAATTTTAATGTTCTGAATTAAAAAAAAAAAATTCAGTCCCCTATTTGGGTAATAATATTACTGTTTACATTATTTATACTCAGAATATAGTCTTCATTTTTTTTGTTTTTTGTTATTATTATCACAACATTTCGGCCATTGTGCCTGCTGGCCTTCATCAGGGATAATAACTTAGTATTAAGTAAAAACTAGATGAGATATCTCTAGACATGGTCAGTGGAATGAGTACAATCTACAAATAAAAGGTTCAGTTCAAAATTCCCTAAAGGTTACCTAGATCAACATGCATCTGATAAAGGCCAGATGGCACAACAGGTGAAACGTTGTGACAGTAACAATGATGGGGATAATAAACCAAGTGTAAATGATAATAATTCCTCATCCTAGAAATTCAGAGAGGAATAACATTACTATTTTTTTTATTTTTGCTTATTGGAGCTATTACATCATATGCATATTTATCAAAAAATGTTATTTTTGTATAAAAGTTTAGGTGATATTAATGTATAACAACTAACAGATGCTGAAGTGCATATCTAAACAAACTTTTAGCATTAAGTATATAGTTGCAATTCATCTCCAATTTTTTAAAAGTTTTTTTTCTAATCTACAAGAGTTATATTAAATTATTTAAAAAAAATTAAAAACGGTAACATTGATTTTTAAAGCAGCCTCTTACTGGCAAAATTTGATAAACAAGCCCACTTATTTAGTATTGCTAAGAATATATTTTATATACAGTGTGACCCGGATATAAGAGAGATTTTCTCTGGTCCCAAATTAGAGCCTGTGTTACCTAAACAAAATAGACCAAACCCGGATAAAAGAGAAACCCGGATATAAGAGACTTCTTCTCCGGTCCCGACAACTCCTCTCTTATATCCGGGTGACACTGTATATGTTTTGATATCAGGCATTATATTACAATTTAAGTCATCATGCAGATGTTTCAATTTTACAAAAAATTTTAAGTGTTTATAAAAATTACTATTTACATGTTTATTTCTTTCTATTTTTATGGCATAAAGATAATTGGCAAATAGATTATCAAATTTATTATCTATATTATCAATTAATTATTGATAATTGCTTATTCAGAATACTGCAAAAAATGTATCCACACTCAAATAAGATGCACACAAAATTAGTATAATAAAGAATAATTTAAATGATGCTTTATTCAGAATTTTATTTTTTAGATGAGTTTTATTTTCTATTTCATATTTTTCTTTTTTTATTCTAGTTATATTGTATTTACTTTTTTTTTTAAATTCTACTAGTAAGGAAAAATCATTTTTTTTTTTTTTTTTTTTTTTTTTTAAATGCAAACAATGTAGGACATACTTGTAATAATCATTGCAAAATGATCAACATCTACTGGTCTTCCATTTATTAATAACCATTTTGAAAGCTGTAATCTTAACCTGTTAAAGATATGTAGATAGGCATATGTGTGAATTTGTGTATCTATTTGAAGAGACGTTTTTTTCTCACTATAAATGTTATGTTAATTACTGTATTCTCTTATTGCAGGAATTGAAAAGATAGTGTATCGGCCAGATGCTGGTCCAACAGAAACAATGGTTTTCAAGCATTATGATGCATCTAAAGTGAGTTTTCTTTTGAACCCCCAAAATTTGCAATCATCCTTTTTTCAGAGACTAGCAGTAGAGCCCGGCGTTGCCCAGGGATGTAACAGTAAGAGTTGGGGATGGCTGTTGCTTTGAAATATGTGCTTTGTAAGTCAACAGGAACTAAGTTTCTACAAAACATTGAAACGCAATGCACACAAAGTTTAAGCAGACATCATGGAGGCCCAAGTATTCAAAGGTATCGAAGGAAGTAACGGAAAGCTGTTGTAGCATCAGTCATTTGCCATTACTAAGACATCTGTGAGTAAAAGCTGGCAGCAGTTACTGCTTTAACAAATTGGACCGTTAAGCATTACTGTCGATGGACTTATAAACATGACATTGCCCGGGAATGCAATCCAACAGTTTAAGGTTGATGGAATCAACTGTACAGTTCTTCGGTATCAATATGGCCCTCCCAGCAAGCCAATCGGCATTGGCAAAATTAGTGGATAGGTTGTAGAAGACTGCATTCATCAATTCATCCAGTGATTCAACAGTGGTGGCAAGCTGATCCATCTGCACAAAACCCTGTGTGTCAGATCATAGATCAAGCGGCAACCTCAAAGCCGAATGAGCAGTTCTACCTCCCAGTAGCAATGTTGCTACCTGCTGGGCGTTTTGTTTGGTGAAGTACATCCTCTGTCCATTTTCTAAGTGAACAGCAATCTGCACAATGGCTGGAGCCCTTTGGTGTATGGGGAATCCGAAAATTCGCCAAAAGGCCTCACTACTGCTGAGGTAGTGTCCAGCCACATAATCGTCCACCTCGTCAACGCAATTGTCGTGCCAGATACGGAAAACGGCAGCATCGCTGCCTTTATTAACGTACTTGCAGATGTACTTTATTGACTTAACCGAGTGGCAGTATTCAACGTTTATGTGGGCAGCAGCGGGCAATAAGGCACCACCCAACGATTGTCCAGACTGTGCCCCTTAACTGTCACAGTACTGTCGCCCTCAGCAGGGCTTCTACGTCCGTACAGTTGGTAACCATCCGTTGCAGTCTGTGTTTCTGAGATAAACTTATGGGAGTAACCCTTTGTGCAATTGGGGCCGCTTGACCAACATGAACTTTTTTCATAATTCGCGCCACAGGGGCCGTGTAACATATTGTTTTTAATGATTTTGTGGAGCAAAGGATCCAGTGCAGGATCTGGAATTTCAGCAGAAATAAAATCGTCTATTTTGTTTGTGTCAACCTTATCGTTGAGCCACAGCAGAATGTGGGCATGAGGCAAACCGCGTTTCTGCCATTCCACTGTATACATATGACACTTAACGCATCCGAAGACTTGCCCTTTATAGATTAAATCCATAAGCTTACAGCTGTAACCGGCGAAGCGAACAATTAGGTCAGGGCGGTGTAAGTACTGCTAGGGCTAAAGCAGATGCAGTGGAACAAGCATTTCTAACTTGTGACGAACAGTGGTCTGTGCAGAGCATTCTAAGGCTCTGGCAGGCGCCAGTGGATGGGGCATTTCTAAAGTGACGAGCAGTTTCTTGGGGTTGTTCCAAAGTCTAGAGGCAGCTGTAGCCCTAGTATTCCTAAGGCGACATGAAGTTGTTTGTTGGGGCTTTCTAAACTCCTGGAGCAAGCTTTTGGCGGTGGCATCCATATTGACTAAGGGTTTTCTGTGCTGGGGACTGTGAAGCCCTCAACCTAGCCACGTGGACTGCGTCCTGTGAATTCTGAAGTGAACGTTCTTCGACTAAAAGCCTGGCACGGCGTGCGGACATGGTTGAAGACGCTGAAGCTAACCTTTCATTCTGTGCAGCGGTACCTTCCGTAGATAAGCAAGCAGCTGAGCTTGAGGCCATCCATGAAAGATGCAAAGAAGTCTGTTCAGGGGTTTCACTCACCCTCGCTGCTCTAGCAGTGGAGGCAGTTGCCGTGCGCTGTCCCAAAAAGTTTCCTCCTTTTAGGTGGCATCCAAACAGTAAAAACGTCAAAGACAGTAAAGCAAAAAGATTTAAAACAAATCAAAAACAAAAAACGTGCACTGCTAATGTAGACACAAAAAAGGGAACACCCAGTAAAATGAGTTCAGATGTTACTAAGGGGAACTTCGAAACTAAAAAGTGGAAATTTAAAAAAGGTAAACCAAGGGTAAATCCCAAAGGAAATGGGTTTTTAGTACAATTGGCTAATGTGTGGGGGGTTGGGTTGGAACTATAAAACAAAAAAGCAGCTAGAACACGTAATCAACAACTTGCGGTGTCCGAAGTAGGCAAATAAAGTAAGCCAAGTGTGTGCATGCGGGCAACAATAAACGTAAAAGTGTGAAAGCACGCCTGAGTCACGCAATAGAGGTGGTTGACCTTGAGTGCACTTACACATAAGCTGACACGCGATCACTATAACATGTGAGAAATCCTGCGTGATGATTGGACTGGCCACAAGGTCAAGCTCTGTGAAAGCGACCAATGGGCTTGCAGCAGTCTTGGTATTGACATGCGGACTCGGTTGTACACAGCTGTGTGTGTCTGTGTGTAAGGAAGTTACACAAAACAATTGATCTCGTGCAGAATACGGTTATTTTGCCAAAAAATTCTGAAAATTTGACACACACAAAGGCGATAGTAAGCCGAAAGCAGAAGTGTGTTTGTAAATTTCATTTGAATCAAACCAAATCTGTACATACTGTGCCAGTGAATGTGTGTTCAGAGGCTAAATCCTGTCCCTTTGTATCCCGTTTATGGTTCCCTGGTCAAGCGGCTTTGTCTTGCAAACAATTTGGTATGTTAGATATTAGCGTCAGTGCTATCAAACTGGATCATTTGCTTTGTTTTGGTGGCTCGGTAACAAAACATCGTCCAAAGACTGCAAAAAATCTGCATGCCCTTACCTGTACTTTCAAATTGATTTTGTGCAAAAACAATTGTGTTTTTCTAATTTTTGGCGCTGTCAGAACCACCGCCGGCTAATTTTATGTAGTCCTGTGAAGTTTTGTTGAAATTGGTTGAAAAATGTAGGAAATCCAATCCCATATATAAACAAACAGACACACACAAACACACACACACAATCTGCGTTTTATAATAAGTAAGATACCATCCATAAGATCAAATCTTATCAGATTTTTTAAACAACTGAGCTTATTTTTATCACATTGGACTTTCTGGCTTAAAAAAAAAAAAAAAAATTAACAAAAAATGCTTCTGGATGTCTTCTTTGTCTATAACAAGTATGTTTGAAACGCTTGATGATAAATCAGTACTATTGCCATGTTATTTAAAATGCACAAATTAATAAAAAAAATAATTTTAAAAATATTCAAATATAAAGATTTTTTTCTGTCTGAAAGAAATATTAAAATGAAAATTACTGATTTTTTGATAATATATGATATTGTTGTTATAGTCCACTTCAAGTTAGACATCTTTCTGATTCACTCTACATCAAATCCTGTCAGCTAGATGTGAGCATATGTTGAGAATAATTTTTGAAAGTATTTTAAATGAGTGTGGGGGTAAGCATGACAGTGAAATTTATAACCTGTTATTATGGTTTGACAAATTTTGAAACATCTATGCAGCCTATATCGGGTTCTTAACAAGCAAATAACACAAGTCATTGAGTCAGATGATGTATAGCATCAATGATAACATAGTTTTATGAAAATTCTTTTTATTCAATTATTAGTCTTTATGTCCTTTATTATATATAAGCATTTTTTTTACAATAATGAGAAAAAAATTAACATGGGAAATAATTTCTTTATTATGGCACTTAGGTCACTTGAATCGTATTGTCCGAAAAAATGCTTGTTATATTTAAGTATTAGTTTTTTTCATTGAAACCTTTTGTTTCTTTCATGTAGTGCAAAATAAGAGCAAAAGATTAGTTTATGACCATTTATCAATTGGAATTAAACATTATCTTGCACCCATGTTTATAAAGGATGTATTTCTGTAATACTTTCTTTTTAAATTTCTTTAGCATAGAAATTCATTCTTAGAATTTGATTTTAAATATAATTTTTATACAAGTAGAAGAAACATTTAAAATATTTTGAATTTTTTTTTAATGTTGGTAAAGTTGTTAATTTTCTTATCAATGGTATTACATTATATTATAATACCTTAAATTTCATGTATAGTTTATAGCATCAAATTTAAAAAATTTTAGGTGTATATGAAAGTTTCCAGTTTTTGCTATAATAAAAAAGCGTTTATCTATTAAGTCTCTAGTTTTCAAAAAAGAGGATACTGAAAACTTTTATACCCATCTAAAGTTGAGTAATCAATTGTTTTCTTGAAATGTGCTTATTAAACTGAATAAATCCTTAAAGGAATATAATTTTTTTACAATTCACTCATGAAATATTGCAGTCCTAAGAGAAGGAGTAGGCTTAATATTATATAAAATCAAACTTTCTTTTTCATGTTTTCCAGCATATTTGTGTGGTGCAATTTTAATGTAATATAGATGTGATTTTTTAAAGATTATTATTTAAAATAAAAGAATTTTCGTTGCAGGTTGTTTATGGACGAACCATGGAGGAATGGCTTCGTTTTTCTGTCTGTTTTTGGCATACATTTCGAGGAACTGGTAAATACCTTATTAATTTTTGGCTAGTATTTCTTTCACCTTATTTCTGTTGTTCTAAGATTATTATTCTATGACAGTTATGTAAACAGTGTGGATTTGAATGATTTCTATTTAGTTAAGATAAAAGTAGGTCAAGTTCATAGAATGTCTCTTAAGATTATGTGGGGAAAATTGTGTAAATGGCTACCTGCTATCATCAGTTGAATTGTTGCGTTACACACCACAAGCTATTTCGGCTGATGATAGCAGGTAGGCACAAAGAAACCCGGTCTCGATTAGTTAACGCGAAATCTCGTTGTCTCATCATTCGCATGCAAATCGTGGTCGGTCCGCGGCTGTATAAAGCAGCTCGTGAGAGGGTTGGACGTGCAACACCGGGTTTCTTTGTGCCTACCTGCTATCATCAGTTGAATTGTTGCGTTACACACCACAGATTAGCTCACCTTTCCAAAATCTTTCTTTTCATCTTGAGCAATTACTTTCATTTAAAGACCCTATCCTATGAACACAATGACTATTTCAGGTTGGTTCTGTAGCATTATGTTATGTATTTTTTAAACTCAGAGCATTACTTATGTGTTCTTTAGACATTTACATCTTTAGAATGATCAACTTAGTAACTACTTTAAGTATATTATAATTATGCTTAACTTGTATAAACTATCAACACTTATTAGTATGCATTGTTATCATTTAGACATTTTAAAATAGTGAAAATATCAATCAAGTTATCACTATTCAATTTCAGACATTACTTATAGATTGACGTGATAAAAAAGTAATTTTATAGAAAAAGCTGATTTTAATTTACAAAAATCTTTTTCTCTAAACTTTAAAATTTATTTTATCCTGTAGCAATAATAATTGTGTAGATTTTTTCCAGTAGTTTAATAAAAAAAAATATCAGTATTTTTTCATGTGAAGATATAATAGATACAGAGGTTCCTATCAGTCTTGTTCTCAATAGCAACAAGATGTTTTCTTGTAACTTTTATTATACCCTAAAATTATCTAAGAGTAACATTTCTTTTTTGATGTTTACATAATAAAACCTGTATTAAAAAACAAGATGAGTAAAGTGTCTATGATTATGTGTTTATATAATACTTTTTAAAGGAGTAAATTTTTTTCAAAAACAAAAGCAGAAAATTCTTTTTAATGTATCACTCTTCATTTGGCAAAAATATCTGCATATTAATCTTAGAAGGTAATTTAATATTACTATTGTTATTGGATAAAATGAACTTCATACAACAAGCTTGATATCTACAGATAGACTAGCATTCAAACATGGATTACTTGGGAAAGCAGTTATGAATTTAATTTGAAATTGAATTAAATGTAAGATGTAATATATATTCCTATTTCACAGACCGATGAAATGTTAGTTTTAATGTTTCAGGTGCTGACCCATTTGGTTTCCCAACTTTAATGAGACCCTGGGATGATAATACCAATTCAATGGAAAATGCTCAACGAAGACTACGAGCAGCATTTGAATTCTTCTCCAAGCTGGGAAACAAATACTGGACATTCCATGATAGGTAAGTTGTACAACGTTTGTAATTTTTTTTTTTTTATAAAATATTTATAATAGTGGAAAATATTGTGGCTTTAGAATAGTAACTATATCTACATGATATTTTCTTTGACTTTTGAATAAATTCTTTCTTTCCTTTTTCTTTTCCAGTAGAAAGTTAATTTAGTTTTCTGTCTATTTGCTCATACAAAAATAAATCATTTTTACCTTTTATATATCATGGTATTTATCGATCCACTCACGAGAACCGAATATGGCACAAGGCCGGTTTTAATGTGGGTATTCCCGAGCCCGTAGGCTCGGCCAAAAATATAGCCTTTGAACCCGCCTAGATAGGTTCAGGCCCTGTCTACCTCCCCGGACGAAACCTTGCCCTTCGGCAAAGCTTTGTCCAGGTTCCTCTCTGCTAACGCAGAGAGTTTGACAGACGTCGCTTACAGTCAAAGACTGTATCACAACTCAGATAGACTCGCAGCTCTATCTGTCTTCCTCCTTTTATATATCATGAATTCAACTCTTTGGTTACAATTGACCATAAGGTGATTTCTATTTTTATTGTGGAAACTAGCATTATTAGCAGCAATCTAGGAACTTCAAATTTGAGCCAAGGTTTATGATGTAATTTTTATGCTGATGAAAGTATTAAACTGACTTTCTTGGTCTTATTGGTACATTAAAATAATAAACTGTAGATATAAAATAAATCTGTGCAAATCTCAATGTCATCATAAACAAGGTCTATATTCTAAATTGAAAAATATTCTAGTCTTTTATAAAATCATTACTAGTCTATATTTTGCAGTTTTCTTAATATAATTTTATTTCAAAATAGTTTTTCTTATTAAATTTATTCAGATTTTTAAAGAATTGTTAAATAATTCTTCTCAAAGCAACAATTTATATGTCTATTTGTCACATAACTTTATCATTCATTGTTAAAGTTTGTAATGCTATGAAAAATATTTGTGTATGTACACATGTTTGTATATAATAAGAAACAACCAGAGGAAATAATAAATAGGATAGAGAAAGGATGAGACAATGATATAGACTGCTGGTTCATTTTAATGTTAAACACTTGCTGATAGATAATATGCTTGTTGTGCAAGCTGCTTATTATGAATTTCTTTGAGATTTATCAATAAATAATGAAACTTTTGTTTAAGTCAGTCAGATGCAGTAATATTTTCACTGAATTAAGAGTAGGGAAAGCAATAATCAATTATTGTCTTGTAATTTCTTCTTCTCAAAGGGATATTGCTCCAGAAGGTGCTGATCTTGCAGAAACAAACAAAAGTTTAGATGAAATGAGTGACTTAGCATTGGAACTTCAACAAAAGACTGGAGTGAAATTACTTTGGGTCACATGCAACTTATTTGCTAATCCCAGGTAAGTGTTATGATTCTATATTTACAGGTGTCTCGCTATGCTTTTCCAGTATTGGTATGGTTTGTAAATGTAATAACTCTTGGTTCACCCAAATTAGCAGAGAAAATATTTGGCTTGGAGTTAGATCCAACTCTTGCAATATGTCCTGTTTCAAATCTGTTTTGAGACTTATATAAATCAATAATGTTGGAGTTTATTTAAGAGACAGGTGACAGGCTTCAAGCCAAGTTGATTTTTTATAATTTTTTTTTTTTGAAGTCTAGATAAAAGCTGAGCTGAAAAGGACTTTGACATCAAGTTGTATTGTTGCTATATGCTGAAAAAATTGTTTGGCATTTGGTCAAATTTTAGGAAGTAGGTCAGATTGAGAGCTTTTAAGCACCACCTCAGTAATAAAATTTTGAATAATTTCATTCAGATTTTGCAACCTAGTATGCACAGTTCCATTTCTTGTCTAGCCCTTATTATGTTAGACAATCTTTCCATGTGTGTGTGTACAGAAATAGACCTATATACCTTATACAGGGTGACCCAGAATTAACTATCTATTTTTAAAATATGACATAATTTTATGTTTATTACTTAATCATGATACAAAACAAATAGATTTATAAATCTTACGTCAAAACTTTATTGAAATTTTTCAATACATGCTCTGTCTGTATCCCTGCAAATTTCAAATCTATCTTTAGTGTTGTGAAACATATTTTGAAGCATTTCAGGAGTTATTTCCTGCACTGCTAACTGAATGCATTCTTTAAGCTCAGCTAAACTATTGATCTTTTGGCAATAAACCTTTGTTTTTATGAAACCCCATGCAAAGAAATCCCTTCAACAAAGATTCGATCTTATGTATTCAATATTAATTGTGTTCTGAAAGGGAATGAAAATGAAATTAGGAAAAAATTATGAAAATGTAAACAAAATTGGTAATTTATATACTTCTAACACATATTAAACATGATGAACAAAAATAAAAGTGTGTTTTTAAAATATTGTATGATTTCACTGAAATAGTTAATTTTGGGACACCCTGTATTTATATTAAAACAAATGACAAATTTTATCTATTGTTATAACGAAAAATTAAGATATATTTCTAAAAAAAACTGGAAAATAAATCTAAATAAATGCTGTTTGAAAATAGAAATGATTTTCTGAAAAGCAGCCATTAAATAGTTATATTGTGAAATAGTTATTATGAATAGATAAATTATTTTAAATTATGTAAAATCTAAAAAATATACCACCTTTAAGATATATAACATGTTTCTTTTCAAGAATGATTTTTGGAAAGCATTATTTATTTGAAGCTTAAAAATAATATTTTAGCCTGAAGGGGAAAGAGTTATACATTATGATACATTTGTATTTCACTTTGGACTCTTAATATGTCAGGTACATGACTGGGGCCAGCACCAGCCCTAATGCACATGTCTTTGCCTATGCTGCTGCACAAGTGAAAAAAGGACTGGAAATTGCTAAGAAACTGGGAGCTGAAAATTTTGGTATGTAGACTAATTAAGTGTACCTAAGAAATTTTTCAAAAGCAAATATAAACAGCTGTTAAATCCTGAAACTATTCTTGGTGCTATGCTTTTGTTTATAGAAATAATTTTATTCACTTCTGATCTCCCATCTATGCTGGCTGTAAATGGTACTTTCTGGGAAGTTCGCTGACAATAAACTATTACTCTCCCAAACTGAAGTAGCTTAAAAGATGGGAACAAAAAAAATTTAATGAGGTTTAAAGAAATAATAACTGATAAAGAAACAGGATTATATTTTCAGATAGGCATTCATGCAGAAGTAAATATTTTGTATATTAGTGATTTTTCCACACTGTCTTCCATAAAATTGGACTTTAGTACTGTTTTAGGTTTTATTTTCCAAAGATGAATATTGTTTTCTGTTTAAATCTGCACTTTAAAAAGTGGTAACTATTTTCATTTGAACTTTTTGTTTCCATTATCTTATTTAAAATAAAACAATAAGAATAAAATATACTTTTACAGATGTGATTTTTGAATTAACTTTATCTTTTTGTTCATGAAATTTTCAAGAAAATTTCAATTCATATCAGTGAATTAATACGTTGAAAAAAATATGTATTTTTGATTAAATAGTTACTTGAATTCTAATTTAACATAATCAACGTAAGACATTAATGCATTTAATTTGTTTTGGACCACATTGAAAACTATTTTCTCTACAGAAGGTCAGTGGTATAATAAATAAATAAATTGCTCGACTACATGCAGATTCAAATTAAATTGAATTTTGATCGACCACTGCCAATGAGTAAAAGAAATTATCTCCCTTGTTTATCATTTTAAGTGAATTTTTAGTTTGGTAAAACATTTCATTAATGCAACATAGAAAATGTAGAAAGAATAATTAACATGATTAATAACTCATGTAAACATTGCTGTGATAAAGTTTTTCATAAATCAAACTGGGTAAATCTAGCCAGTATTTCTATTGGTTATTTTCATTTCATTTTCTTTATTGCTAGTTTTTTGGGGAGGACGTGAAGGATTCCAGACATTGCTTAACACAGATGTCTTATCTGAGCTCAATCATATGGCTAACTTTTTCAAAATGGCTGTGGGTAAGACTTTACTTTTCTTTCTTTTTTTAACATGCACTTCAATAAAAAAAATATTAAGTAATGATATAAGTCTTATTAAAATAAGGAAAAATCAAAAACCCAAAAGTTACTTTTGAAAATATTTAAAAATACCCTCAGAATGTTTGCTTTTTTATATAATCACCTAAATAGATTGGTCACCCATAAATATAAGAAACTTAATTTTATTAACATTTATAATTTTAAATAACCTAATTGATTAAAATCATTATAAGTTAAATATTACTTTTGTGGTTAAAGTTATTTTTTTTATATAAAATAAATAAAAAGATGATTTTTATAATCCTATATCAAATTACAATAGTTTTCATTTAATTTTAGTTTTGCCATTTAATGGAAATACTTATATTGTTATCTGCTGAATTTAGTGATATGATTTAAATTGTCAGACTGCTTTGTTCACTATACTTTTTGAAAATGACTTAATATTGTTTGCATTTATGTTTGCAATCTGAAAGTCCTATTAGGCAAGAATATATTGTTAACTTTAAAAGTTCACATTATTTTAATGATTTCCAAATTATTATATTTTAGGGTGAATATATGGCCCAAATTATGATAGAAAGTGTACAAAAATTATCTATAAAAGTTGTCCCTTTATTCAAACTATGGACTATATATGACCTATGGTCAGGCATTTTTGTAATTGTCACATTTCCTTTTGTTTTAAATCGTATCATGTTGATTACAAAATAAAGCCTAAATAAAACTTAGCTTATTCTTTTCTTTGGTATACAAAATGTTTAAAATATATATATATATATATATATATATATATATATTATGTTATAAAATATACATAAGCTACATATTATGGCTCTGGAAGTTTTAGAGACAGTGATTTTATCACATTACTCAGTCTAGGAATATATACAAATTTGTTATTTTTATTTTTTTTTAAATGTAACTTGCATTGTGTAATTCTACTTGGGATTTTTATATATTACTTTTTTGTTAATAAATATTCAATGAAAAATATATTTTCCTTTTGTAGGAAGTGAGAAATTTAAATGTTGTACTGGTAATTGGTTTGTTTAGGTATATTGCAAAATATGTCCAAATCAGTAACTCCACTAATTTTTTAATAATGGAAATTGACATTAAATCATCTGGATCAAGGCAACATAATTATTCACATTTTGAATATTTCAAATTCCAGTTCAAAATACTATTTGTCAATGAAATGGTTTTTTAAACTCCATAAAATTTTCTGAATGAAAAGGAAATATCTAAAATATTTTTGATAGTTATCTACTGTATTTAAAAGTATCAGGTGCATTTTTAAACTATTTTTACATAGCAAACACTAATTTATCTACTTTATACTTCTTATTACAGGTCCTTCTTTTTTAAATTCTGAGACTTATTAGTCCCAAATGTTTTATTTCTAATACATGAATTTTTTTTTTATACAAAGGAGATTTTCTTAATATGAATTTAGTTCAGAAAATTTACATGAGATATAAGGGAGCAAAATCCTTGTTTGGTGTGTGTGAATGTGGGAGGAATCTACTAAAATGTAGTATACCCAAACTATCTTTGTGTACATACAATCCATTTTAAAAATATACTTATGTAAAATGATCAAAAATATTTTTTTCTTCAGCCTACAAAGAAAAGATTGGATTCACTGGTCAGTTGTTGTTGGAGCCTAAACCCAAAGAGCCAACATCTCATCAGTATGATTATGGTCAGTAGTGCTCTTATATTGTCACTGTGGCTTTTTGTATTGTCTCATATTTCATCTTCAATCCATCTTCATGCATTTTTCTCCTCTCAGAAAACTCCATAGATGCAGTTACGAAAATGATTCTTATCTTGAGTAACATCTAAATACTGACTTTTGAGTTTACTTATAAACTGCTTATACTACAAAGGAATGCTGAAAAGATTTGGACCCTGATCAAGAAGTCATTCCCTACAAAAATCTGACATTTGGTTATTTGGCCAAATTTTTTTCAGCACCTCTGTATACTTGTTTCTTTCTCTCTTTTTATTATGATATTTATACATTTTCAGATGCAATGACTGTTATTGCTTTCCTCAAGCATTTTGAATTAGCAAAGCACTTCAAGGTAAATCTAACAATGCTCATACATTTTTGTTGTCTACTACTCTAAAATATTCTTCAATAAAAATATTTTTAAAAAAATGTTATAATTTAATTTACTGAAAAATTAAAATTTTTAAAAATGTTAATAACATATTACATATTTTTGACAATTTTTTATTACAACAATTTCTTTAAATGAAATGCACTTAACACCTGTATCTTTTTAGGTTTTTTTTTTTTTTTTTTTTTTTTTTTGGATGTTCAGTTGTGCTTTAAATCTGTAAGTTATTTGGAATGATATAAAGAGCTATGATTCATTTAATTTTTTATTCAAGTGTCCAAAATTAAGGTACAAAACAAATATATTTAATAAAAAATAATTGAACAACAAAATGCGAAAAGTCTTATCAATATTTATTTGAATCCTTGCTGTGCATTTCAGTAAATTTTTACATTTGTGAACTGTAATTTTAGCCCATTCCTCCTGTGATTTTTTCCCATAGATCTTTGATATTTGACAGATTCCTAGCCATGAGATTTTGTCCTAAAGTTTCCATAAGTTTTCTGTGGGCATCATGTCAGGACTTTGAGCTGACCAATCCATAACATTTATCCTTTGGTTGTTCAGATAAGCAATAACCTGCTTTGCTTCATGGCAAGGAGCATTATCCTTCATGAACACAGGATTTTTAAACCCAGAATTTTGTAATACTGGTATATGTTCTTCTGACAAATTCTTGTGCATAGCAGCATTAACTCTATTATGTAAGCATACAAGAAGTGACATACCCAGACTTGAAAACATACTAAAAACTATCATGCTGCCTTTGCCAAACTTGACTGTCTTCTTGGTGCACTTTGAACTTGACCATTTGCCAATTTGTCTTTTTACATACTGTTTTCCATCAGAACCAAATACATTAAATTTACTTTCATCACTGAAAAATACACTGGACCACTGTTCTTCTGATCATGACACATGCTTGTTTGCAAATTCCAGTCTTGCTGCTTTGTTCTTTTTGCTTATGAGCGGGTTCTTGTGTGGATATCTAGCATAAGGCCCTATTTCTTGCAAGCATCTAGACACAGTTTGTTGAGACACATTAATGTCATTTGAAATTTCTTCTGAAATGCCTGCCACAGTTCGAAAGTGGTCCTTCAGTGCTAGGTGTTGAATGATCCTGTCTTCTCTGGCCATTGTTTTCCTTGGTCTACCCATCTTGTTTGGAATGGTTAAGTGACCAGTTTTTTTGTACAGTTTCAAAATTCAGCTCACAATGCTTTTGGAACACTTCACCTGTTCAGCAATTTGGTCAATTGTGTGATGATTTTTTTTTTTTTTTTCCTTTCACAGTTTGACAATATCTGCTCTTAAAGACTTGTCAACTTTTTTTCGGTTTGCTATGTTGGAAAATGACATAGTGATAATAAACAATCATTATCTTAACTTCACTTATCAGAAATTCAGATTATGTGTGTTATTCTCACATATTTCACGATTTGTATCTTAATTTTGGACACTTGATATTTGAATAAAAATTAAATGAATCATACCTCTCTATATCATTCCAAATAACTTACAAATTTAAAGCACAGCTGAACTGCCATTTGTCCATATTTAATGAAAATTTCAGAAAAAATTGGACTTATATTTTTTGAGACATTGAATTTTTAATTTTTTGTTCCTTAGTTTTGGATGCTATTATATATATATATATATATATATATATATATATATATATCTCACATTTTATATGTGGATTATTCTCTTAATGTAATTTTTTCATACTCAAACAGAATATTTCCATTTTAATTGCTATATATATTATTTAGCTTGAATTTTAAGTTTTCTCTTGCATCAGAATATTTTTTTCATTATTACAGATTAATGTTGAGCCTAACCACACAACATTAGCTGGTCATTGTTATGAACATGATATTGTCATGGCTTCAGCGTGAGTATATATAAAAGCTAATGATTGAACATTTATTTATTTGCATTTAAATAAACTTTGATTACTTTTAGAAACCTATTTAATGAGTTAAAATATTTAGTTTTCATCTAATGTTTCCTAAACAAAATGGCCTCATTACCACTCTTTTCATCTTATTGTTAAATTTAACTTTAAATATTTTAAATGTTTTCTTCCTCCGCTTATGCCCTCTGTAACATCTCAAGGGGATTAACTCTTGTTTTTTTTTCTGCAATAATTTGCAACGAACATTATTAGACATTATTTCTGTAAGAAAAATTAGGTATCAAATCTTGAAATTCTTCATGGAACCATCTTCATGAAAATTGTGTGACATTTTACACATCCAATTTGGATATAAATGAATTTGTATTCCTAAGAGATAAATATAATAAAAATAATGAGTATTTTTATGATACTTCTTGTATTTTTGTCCTCAATCCCGTTGGTTGTCATCTATTAGCATATATGTACAGCAGAGAAAGAGTGGCATTTGGTAGGTGACAGGTCTGGTGAATAGAGAGAGTAGGTACAATCTTGCTGTCAAACTGTGTTAATTTTTATAGTTTTTGCCCAATATAAAATTCTGCATTAAATTGCAGCAGGATAAGCACCTCTTTTCTCAAAACTGTTGGTGTAAATGTTTACAATTTTCAATGTATCAATTAAAAATCTTTGACCAGGTTACAGGGGGAATTAATGAATTAATCCACTGACAAATGGTCAGGAAGATATTTCTAATGTAAAGATTTTTTTTTGTGGATATTGAAGAAGAAGCAAGTTTGTCAACCCAAAGGAAACCGCATTATGTTTCTGATTATCATACAAACAGCACTTTCCATCAATAGTAAGCCCATAATCAAGAAAAAAGCTCTCTTTCATTTTCTCTCTCTTCCTCTCTCTCTCTCTCTCTCTCTCTTTTTTTTTTAGACTAGAAAATTGCAGCAACTGTCAATCCAATTTCTGCTTTTCTTTAAATTTTCAGTTTGCACCAGATTTCTTTTCACTGTTGTCTGTCTTATCTCCAGCTTTGCTCTCAACATCCAAATGTTTTTTTTTCTGGATGAATCTCTATGGCTGCTTTCAATTCTTCATCATTAAGTGATGACTTGCAACCATAACCAGCTTCATGTTGCAGATCTAGATCACTATTTAAAGCTGACTAATTCCCAAGCACTGCTAATGTTGTGACTGGCTTCAGTAGTGCAAGTTCGAACTCTTGGAAAAATGCATTTATTTATCTTTGCTTTGATACACTATAAAAAATATCAAAGTAATCAAAAAATTCAAATCTCAGAAAGGATAGAATTCAAACTTATAAATGAATGCATTAACAGAAAAAAATGGTGAAAAAAAATAATTGCAGTAAAGTAATGCAAAGATTGTTTTAATCTTTTTTTTTTTTCCCCCAGGTTTGGAATGTTAGGTTCTGTTGATTCAAACACTGGTTCACCTGATCTTGGTTGGGATACTGATGAATTCCCAATGGATGTCAAAAAGACAACATTAGTCATGAAGGTAAAAACATGCTTTTTTTTTCTTTGCATTCAAAAAGTAAAAAATGTAAATATCCATTTTCAATCTTCAAATTATAACCCAAAATGTATTTTTGAATCAGGATTTATTTAGAGTTTCATGAAAATGTTGTTAATTTTCTTTCTGTCAGGAAATATTTTGATTATAATTTTACATTATACTTCACAGATTTTGTCTTTTCACTTTGAAATTGTTATAACCAAGTATAGTATATAGTAGGCAGCTGTTTATCTTGCTGGATAAAGGTAGCATCCGGTTTGGTCAAAATTCAGTCCTTTGGCGATGAATTTCAGGATGCAGGCCTGTGCAATAGTATATGGAAGTCATGTGCTGCCCAAACTACATGCACACATCCACAACTCGGCCATACCAACAAGAGCCAGAGGAATACCAGGTATTACATTTGGGGAGTTTCCGGAAAGTTGTCGGTGTTGGACAACTTTTGGGCTACACTCTGGGTATTCTGTCTGGATTTACTTCCATAACCTTTTCCCTGTTTGGTTGGATATAACCACAAGACAATGGAGATTTAAAATCGAGATTTTTCTTTCCCCTACATGGACTGCCTTCCTGGGCTGTTGAGCTCCATTTAACCAAAGCAGCTGGTTATAAGGTACCAAGTTTTCCATCTGGCTTGGAGCTGGACAGTTGTCAGAGGCTATTTGAGATAGATGCCACTATCACCTTTCACAGATTTTGCCTTTTTACTTTGAGGTTGTTATAACCAAGTAATTACATGATAATTAAACATGTTGGCACTTTGTATTCAAATCCAAAATATTTCCCCAATTCTAATGCTTGACAGCAATATGCAGTAATCTGAATCCTGAATTGTTCATCTGCAACTCTGATAATAATAGAACAACAGTTGTATGTATTTGCTCGTTCTTCTTCTTTTTAAAGGATGAAATGGTAATTGGGTGGTCTGTTGCTTCATGGCTGCTACTATGATTTGCTTTTCTTCAGTCTGTATTTAGAACTCAAAATGTCACAAATAATATATTGGTATAATTTGACCATTAATTTACACTCTCTAAGGATCTCTTTAATTTTGCAAAGCACATGGCCAGCTTAATTTTATTCTCATGAAACCATTGGAAATCATTTATTTGTGTGCTTTTATCTGAACTTCCAGTAATGTTGGTACATGTTTCCAGTTTTGTTATGAGAAAGTCGTCTAATTGATCAAATGGGTCTCTATCATGTCTTTGGGTTTGTGAAAGGAACCCTGAAATGGCATGATTAGCCATAATATTGTTCAATCTGTTCTGCTGCCATTCTTGCAAAAGGAAGACAGTGTGCTATTCCAGCAGGTTATGTCCACTCATATGATGCTTGTGTTACACATTATGCACTTCAAGATGTTCAACAGTTTCCCTGGTGTGCACAGCTGTCAGACTTGTACCCTATTGATCTTATATGGGATGACACCGAACTCATTCAATTAGCCCTCTTAGAACTCTTACTGTATCTCATTAACAGGTGCAATAGTTGTTGGTAACACAGGATGATATTTGACATCTGTACAAATGTATGCAAGAGTGCAACCCACTGTGAATGACTATAGAGGATATCTTGTATGTGCCATGTCCCTTCAGGATGTAGGTGATCATGGCTCTCCACAACTTCCTATTTTTTTTTTGTATCTCTTAGTAAGGTTCGTCTTTTCACCATCCCTTCCAATCCCTGTTCTGTCATCCTTTTACACAAACTTGTAAGGAAAGTTACTTGCTGCTTTCCTTAATCCCTCTTGATTTCATTATATTTTATAGATTATGCAAAAGTAATGAGGTACAACAAACTGAATATCTAGGGAAGCTTGATTTAATTTGGAAAGATATTAGAATAACCAAGAACTTATACTGGGTGCAAACTGGATAGAAAATGAATTCAGTAAATACACAAAAATAGAAAGGTGCATTTCTCACCAGACTTCTTCAGCCTTTAGAAAGAGGCAATCCTGATAGATCTAGAAATCCTACTGGAATTTACTGTTAGTAGATACATTCTTAACAACATAACACAGTATTAATAGCAGAAATTGAAAGGAAACCATAGGAACTCTTAGAGTAAAGTGAGAAGAAAGGATTAAATGTCAATTGTAAGAAGACAGAATATATGGTTTTCAGCAAAAGGAACATCCAAAGATGTAAACTAGGAATTGGAGATGCCAAAATCAAGCAAGATACACAGTGTATTAATATGTGATCTGTTGATACACTATTTTAGAACTTGTACATGAATTGATCAGTATGTGTGATCATTTACTGCAATCTCATTATATTACATGTATGTTTAAAGTTGAGTAAATTAAAACACTTATTCAGGGTTTTCAGTGTGAATGTGTGTAAAAGAATTTGTATACTTTTTATCTGTTTAAATTAAAAGTACATTGACAATATTATACTGACAAGGAGGTGTTGAAAAGATCTTGTCCTGACCAAGAACAGATCCCTCCCCAATCTAATTTTTAGTTCTTTTTTGGGGGAGAATTGTGTTGGGCTGAGAAATTTTCAGTACCCAGTAATGTTTATATTCTTAAATTTCAGACAATCCTGGAACAAGGAGGAATCCAACCTGGTGGTTTGAACTTTGACTGCAAAGTACGCCGTGAATCTACTCATTTAAATGATATGTTTATTGCCCATATTGGTATGCATAAATTCTTTGAGTATTTTTTAAACCAAAGTTAAAAAGAAAATTGCAATTTTGCTCAATAAACAAAGTTTTCTTAAAAAAGGAAATCTAACTCTTAAAAAAACAATTGTTTATATGCATTCCAAGTAAAAATAATCCTTTTTCTTTAAATTTCTATTCAAATTTTCATTATATCTTTGATTTTTTTTTTATTTTCTGTTATTCAAAATGGATGTTTTGTGAATGTACAATTAAACTCTCAGTAGGTTCTTAAATAAAGATTGATTTATTCTCGGAGATTTTGACATGAATTTTAGCTACCAAACTGAGCCCCTCTAACTATTGGAAAAAGTGGGCAATAAAGAAAAGTATATGTATTCACCTGGTTGGCTTAAAATAACCTATAAGGGTGGACATGCTGTTAAAGAAAATCTAACCAAACCAAAGGTTAAGATAAAAACTGTGAAAAATTTGTGTTTTGGACAGAATACAAATTCAGGTGGATGGGATGCATATTTTGTATTTGAAGGAGCAACATTAAAAAAAATATTAACAATTGAGTGATGCTCGTTACTTATACAAGTTCTTATTAAATTTCAATATTCTCTGTTTTAGGTCTTCAGATATTACTCAGTAAACTTTAGAAAAATATATTTTCATCTTTTTCTTTCTTATAGGAGCTATGGATTCTTTTGCTCGAGGACTTCTTGCAGCGGCAAAAATTCTTCAGGATGGTGTCATTCCTGCTTTTGTCAAAGTATGGGAGGGTTTTATTTTTGGAAATTTTCTTTTGATTCTTTATTTATTCATTTCTCTTGATTAATTCAGTTAAAATCCTAAAAAACACAATGAGTCATTTTGACATTGTGGATTTATTAATTCACAATGGGGGGTATATTGAAAGTGTGAAATAGACAAGATGGAGGTGGCTATTCTCAGCCTTTTTCATCACTAAACCTTCTATTATCATTTTCATTAAATTTTTTATAAAGAAATATTTTTCACCATAGTGTTTGAAACTTATATGTTGTAACTGGCTTAAATTAAACATTTTTTATATTAAAATTGCATAAATTTAAAATAATGTACATTTTGTATTAATGGTTTTACTATTTTGCCAGTTAAGTACTAAACTACATTAATTATAAAATGTCCTCTTTCCTGTAATTCACACCTTGACTTCATTTTGTCCTCTGCACACTTCTGTGAGTAATACTTACTTTAAAGTGATGTTATTTAAAGTTTCTGAGAAATCGCCACTGTTCTCTTATTACTATACATCAATGAAAAGATGTTGAAGGTGTTAAATTTAACTTATCAGATGACTTTCTCAGCAATTTCAAACTGAAATTAGTTTACACTGCAATAAATACTGGTCTTATAAATGCTAAAAAAAGACAATTGTTTTCTTGATTAGGATATTTTAAAATGAAAAGAAAATCCTGAAAATTCTAAAATTAATCATTTATTTTGTTTTAATGCTTTACTGAACTATTTCTTTAACTTTTTAAAATTTTTTAGAATCGTTATAGCAGTTACATGTCAGGTATTGGCCAGAAGATAAATGATGGCACTACAACATTTGAGGAACTTGAAGTAAGTACAGATTTTGGTAGTGATTTCATTTTCTCATAACTGGAATTACAGCTGAGAGTTTTTATATTTAGTTATGTCATTAGCTCTTGTCCTGCTTTTTAAATTATCAGTAATTTCACTTCATTTATTAAATTTATTAAGCATTTTTATTATGTTTCTAGTTTTCTCCAGCTTGTCATTAATTAAGAAAGCTTCTCAAACTAACTTAAGACTGCTATTACTAGGGAGTAAAATAAAAAAAAAAATATATAATATAAAGAATCTGGAACAAAGAGATGATAGAATAACTATAGATTTGTGCCTTCCTGTAGCTAAAGTAATTAATCCTTTAACATTCAAGATGCTTAAACCTACCCCCATAAATATCAGCTTTCAAAGTCTCACAGTTTGCATGACTTCCTGCATTATTTGTGATGATGTCATCATATATTATGGCTAATGATAAAGGGTTAAGACATTATCCATGAAAGACTGACTCCAAACATGTGAATTCAAGTATTATCGTAAATTGCTTCTTTATTTCCTATTTTCTTGCTATTGACTTCATTGGTTGCATAGTGTGTTCATCCATTGTATTATGATAAAATACAACAATGAAATGGAGAAACCTAGTAGTATATAATAGTAATAAGATGAGCAAGTAGTGTAACGGATATTGGCACAGAAAGTGAATTTGGTATATCAATTTTGAATTCTGTTAGTATATTCACTTTCACATGAATGCCCTTGTCACAGGCATGAATCGATCTCTTCTTCCCAGCTCCAGCTATGGATTAAATAGGGTAACTGGGCTGTCTAGCTTTAGGTGGCAAGAAGAATTTTGAATTACAAACCATGGAGATGGCAACAGGAAGCCACACTACAATCCTTCTTAAGAATGCCTGACATTTCAAAGATAATAAAGAAAAGGAATCTATACAGAGTAATTATCACCTGAAGAGATCTGGCATTTAAAAGAAAAGAAAAGAAAATGAAGGCAACGAGAAACCACTCCACTATCTTTCTCAATAATGCATGGTAATTCACAGATAATAAAGAAAAGGAATTTGTGGAGAGCCATGATCTTTTACACTCTGAAGGAACATAGCATTAAAAATAGAAAAATAAACTAGATTTACCATAAAAGAGAAAACTATAATCCTGAACACCATCTAAAAGTGGGCATTCTGCTTTTCTTTGACTCATTTACTCAATTTTTCATCTCACTTCACTATCATCTAGTAATTTTTTTTCTCCAAGTATTACTAGGTAAGGCATACACTTGAGGAAGGTTGAAAATCATAAATGAAAAGTTGGGATAAAATCAATAAAGATAATGATACTAGACAGAATAATTTATAAACTTGGCATAATTCTTTAATCAGATAACAGTCTACTTAATTTAGTGACAGTGTATTTTGCATTAAATCAGATATTTGGAATTAAATCTAGTATCGGAATTTTATTTGATCCTGTTTGTATTCATGTGAAAATATGTCTTCTTTCCAGGCATATGTGCTGACCAATGGTGAACCTGAAGTTGTCTCTGGACAGCAAGAACATTATCAATCAATGCTCAGCCATTATGTCTAAATCGACAGCCACAAAATATTCAATAGGTATCTTGGTCTCTTCATCTCGAATCACAGTTATACAGAATTTTTTCAGATAATTTCAAGGAAAGTAACTTTCAAATGTAAATAATTGCTGCTTTTGAATGATATTGAATATTCAAGGTAAATGAGATAAAAATGCAAGTATTTATACAAACAGATATACACATCTAGACATACAGAAAATGCAAGTATATCATTTTATATACATACATGACCATCTACAAATATACATGTATATAAAAGATGAACAAAATTATTAACTATGGCAATTATAAATTTTAGCTTCTCAGTTTTTATTGTAATTGGTTTATTGTAACCTTTTTTTATTGTAATTTTTTTCTTGGCTGTAAAAGTGAACTGAATTTTGTATATGTAAATACATATGTATTTCTTAGAATAAGAGAAAATTTACCATATTGATTAATATTGGCAATATGAAATTATTTAAGAAACACTCTAATTTTACAATTAAACAATTAAAAAGGCTAGAATGCTTTCAATCTATACAAAAAAAATCTTTAATAGACATTTGGTATATTATTTTTTATTCTATACTTGATTTTAATTCTTGGACTATATGGCTATCTTAAAGTAACTCATTTTTAAAAACAAATTTTATTTGGGTAATATAAAGTGCAGATTTATATATAAAAAATACAAAACTTTTCATAAAATTGAAGATCAAGTATGAACATGGTTTCTTTCTATTGCTATACCCAACAACTGTTTCATTATTAAAAAAAAAAATTCTTGATAAAAAACATATGCATTAGAATTACATTTTCAGAGGAAAAAGAGATGAGAAGGAGTTACTATTTTAGTATAATCAGTTATAAACTTTTTGAACAATTTTTACCAAATATACTCTTCATTTTACCTGTATGGAAAATGTTCAGATACAAAATTCACTTATTTAGAATTATTTTGATTTGGTGAATATCTTCCTTTTTGTAATTATGATTTTGGATTTGTTTCATATATTAAAATATTTATGAAATAAATTTGGTACTAAAGATATGTGATCTAAATTTGGTACTAAAGATATATGCAGAACATGGTCAACAACTTTGGTGGTTTTATTTCAAAATGCAAGTTATGTAGGATTGCCCTAATGTATTTAATTATTTGATAATTTGCATTTCAGCAAAATTTTGGTTTTCTAAAATTGCATCTTATCTCAGAAAATCAACTACACAAGTAGAAATTCAAATGCAACTATAAAAGTGAGTAGGGAAAAATAAATTCTGTTTAATATATTATATTTATATATTTTTATGTTCTCAGAAATACAAGTGGATATTGTTTTCCTTTTGAATTCAAATTCCAAAATTAAATATATTGCTATTGAAGGCTTTTCTCTAAAAATAATAATCATATAATTTTTCTTTCAAATGAAATCAGTATCAATACTTTTTCTAATAATTTCTTGCAAAAATATTTTGGTCATTTAATTTTATAACATTGATTTGTTTTACTTTAAGTATTAAATAATGTAAAGAAGCAAAAAATAATCATTAGTTATATTTGGAAGATTAACAAGACTGCAGTATAAACTGAAAATATGTTGACCTCATGAGGTGGTTCTATTAATCTTAAATATTCTTGGTTTTAAGGCCTTTCTACATTGTTTAACTAAGTTCACTGAAATCATGACAGTAAGAATATTAAAGAAAAATAACCATGCAACATTGATATAACTTGATATATTTTTCCTGGAATTTTATTATCATACAAAATTAAAGCAACGTTTCCACAAAATAAATCATGAATTGCATAAAATCTAAAAGATACATTCAGTTACAACAGTGGCATAGCTAGAGTGTGTGTTGCCTGGGGCAGTCCTTGAGTTTGCCATTCTCCTGTCCCACATAAAAAAATGCATACTGCACAGTGACTCACTCTTAAAGTTAATATATACATATACATAAACTAGTTTGCGTACCATTATAATATTACTTTCACATACTCAAATAAAGTATGCTTTAAATGCACATCAAACATATTTAAACTTTATCAGTAACAGTTAAAAAGTAGAAACAGCATATAGGGGAAAAAAGTCCAAAAAAATAGGACCATCTTTATTTCTGAAATGAAAATTACATAGTAACTTTTTTGCTTTTTTTCAGTGACAGTGTCAAAAACATTCATTCGTTGCTCTATAGACAGTATAGCAAGATTTCTCAATTGTCTGGTGCTCATAATAGATCTTAATTCTTGATCAGTTTTAGTTTCAAGAAACTTCTCACAGGTAGCAACACTAAGAGCAATTGTGAGGAAAATCCACAGTATTATTACTATATTTTGAACTGATTTCCCAAGATTACACTTTTGAATAAACTGCAAAAGTTCAAGGAGGTCTTCCTTCAATGTCTATATTCCGTCTTTAATAGCAACAACAGCAATAACATGCTGAGGTCTTTTTTCCTTGAAGAACTTTATCAATGTCATCATGATCGTGATCTATTTGACACTCATATTTATCATCCAAAAGATTCAATGGGGCAAGGAAGGCATATTTCTCCTCAAGTTCATGAAGCTGTTGAAATCTCAACATTATTTCTTGGATCACTGTCCAGCGATCATACAAAAACACAAAATATTAGTCAAATTTTGTTTACTCACTTGAAGAGATTCACAGCTTGTGTTGTTCAAATAAGAGCGATAGTTGAAGTAAATAGGTTTTCCTGCTTGGTGAGAGATGGCCGTTTAAGTTTTGCTGAATGATTAATAGCCTATGATAGGCTATTAATAGCCTATGATAGGCCAATATATATGCCAAAGTTTAAGTTACATGTAATTGAAAATGTCCTTCAACTGTTTGTACTGTTCCAACATTAAAACCACCATTATTTCAATACAGCCTATACAAGCTTATAACCTACAGCACAAACCAAAGTGCCAGCCACATAAAATTGCCGCCCAGGATGGGCCACCTTCCCCTAGCTACACCACTGAGTTACTGCTATGTAAGCAATAACATTTTATCTTTTGTCTAGTCAATAAATTCATTTGAGAATTATGGAGATTTCAAGTGCAAATGCCTTTTTGTAATTTTATTAAAACTAAATAAGGTGCTAAATCATCAGAAAATGACTGGTATATCTTTTTTGGATAATTCATTAACTCTGTCATTTATTTGTATAGGGATTTATATCAAATTCTGGGAAATAAATTTGTTTGAGACTGTTAAGAGAAAAATCTTATATGAAACTTTTGGTTAATATTTTTAAACATTTTGTATATGGTTATGCACAATTTGTTAAAAAAAATTGTTTATAAAAGTTTAAAATGACTGCTCTATAAAACAAAGTATCTTTCTTTGTAAATGGTCTTTTAATATTCTTTTTACATGTGTAATAGCTTATAACTAATATGACTTTAATATTAATTATTTATTGATTTTTACTATTACATAATATGCAATGGTATAACTAATATGTAATATTGAGTCCAGTTGTTACATGACTTCTAAGTATCAGTTTTTCTTTTCTTTTTAATGCACATATTTGGAATTTAGAGGAAATTTGAAAAACTTGAAGAAAAAAAAACCTTCACAGTATGACTATCATTTCATCACCCCACAATATCAAGCTAACTAGTGATTGTACACTACAGGCAGTAGATTGTCTCCAATGTGACACAACTTATTACTTTCATGATATGTTTACCATTGATCATAATTCTGACACTGGTATTTGTGTCTATGTAGGTGTGATATTTTGTTTTTTAAAGGGTCGTTCTTTTCATATAAATCTTAGTATAAAATAACTACTAATCTGCTGCTAAGATTAAAAGTATTGTTGATAAATTTCTTTACTCATTTCATGTCTAATAATCAAGTAATGAGTGATGCATAGAAATGTACATACATTAAAAAAATGCATTGTAAAGAAATCTTTTTTATTATACCTATTCATTTCATAAGATAATTCAAAATGGGGTTCACGCACAATTTACTTTTTCAAAGCTATTCAAACCCCAGTCAATTGTAGACAAATAAGTAATTTGTTGTATTTGGATCTATAATCAGATTGACTGTCATGGCCAAAATTTCATAAAAACTGTCATCAAATTGGGTTATCTAGTTTTAAGTTGAATCTTGTTTAACTACTCTGTATTATTTTTTTTTAATGTTCAAAACACCAATTTATGAAAATTATTTCAATTTCCTACCATAAAATGTCAATAAATCAAAATTTATAATTCTTGAATTGTTTTTACTGAATAATATATTCTGATGAGTTGATGTTTATGAAGAAAGTATGTTACATTTCACACAAGATGTTGTAGAAAAAAATTGTTATATGCAAGAATGATTTTCCTTTTTTAAGGAAAAAGTCTACTTCATGTATTGAACTACAGTGTTGAAAACAAATATATGGTTAACTTAACAATTTTTAATTCATTGTTTATTATTATTCTTTTCTGAATAAATATTTGTATAATTCATTCAGGCTTTGTTTTTCATTTTGGTGCTGGTCAAGTAATCTAAAATTTATCCGATATTCTTTTCTTTTATTGAATACTCTCTTCAGCTAGTCTTCATAAGATCTTTAATATCTATAAAGCACTGTCCATAGAAAACTTATAATCATGAAACATGATATTTCGAAGGAGAAAGATACTAACTGTATGTAATGGATGATGCAAAACTTTGATTCCTTGGGGCAGCATAAAATAAGAATGAATGGCTGGCAGAGGGACATAAGTTACTCATTTTGACAGGCCACATTCAATGACTAGAGCTTTCTGTCATATCTAAATGAATACTGGAAGCCTGGCAGGGTGTTCCTGAAACCACCATGGTAAATTCAATCAAAAAATTCTGCATCAAATATTTGTTCATCCTATAGAAAAATATGGTCAAACTGTTATGTCACAGAATAGCTCTTTCTATTGATCAAAGTTGTTTTTTTATCTTTCAAAAAGGCAGACATACTATCAAGCTGTTCACAGTAGAAGTCTGAGGCAATATCT